TTTCTTTTTGGTCAGGTACTGCCAAAGTTTATATTCCTATTTCCTTCTCTCTTTTTTTTGTGCCGATACTGGGGCTTGAACTCAGAGCCTTGAGCTCTCTCTTGGCTTCTTCCCTCAAGTCCAGCGTTTAACTTGAGCCACACTTCTACTTACAGCTTTTTGTGGCTCATTGGAGATGCCAGATCTGGCTTTGAACTGAGCTCAAATCTCAGCCTCTTGAGTAGCTAGGATCACAAGTCTGACTGGTATCTGGCTCTCATTTTCTTTCTTTTAAATAGAAGAGGAATGTGAGACTGACTCATTAAGTTTTGTAGTTATCGTTTGTCATATAGTTCATGTGCATTATACAATCTTAAAGTTGTTCCTTTCCTTAGCATCAGTTATATTGAGGTTCTTTGTGAAAGAGTAAAAATATGTTGAGAAGCCAGAATTACAACTATTTATATCATTTATATACTCCATCAGAGTCAAGATAATTAGGTCTCTGTCCAGTGGAAGGGTACTAGTTCTCAGAACCAAGTTGAGTCTTTGGCCATACCACCCTGAAAGAGCTTTATTTCGTCTGATCTCAGAAACTAAGCAGGGTCCAGCCCATTTAGTGCTTGGATGGAAGAACTAATTGGAATATCAAGGTTGACTCCTGTCTTCAAGAACTTGTTCTGAGCTTGGCTGAACTGAGTAGAACTTTTTTTTTTTTTTTTTGGTAAGAGAGAGAGACTCTGGCTATGTAGCCCAGGCTGGCCTTGAATTCGTGGCCCTTCTGACTTAGCCTCTTTAGTGCCAGGACTACCAAATGTGGGTCATTTGTTCTATTCAAGGTAAAGAACCAGCTCCTGTGGGGTTTATAAACATGACTAAGGGAGGCTTTTGTTTCATGCTGTTTCTAATGGGCTATGTTGGCTACCTTAGTTCATATCTACAAGCTGGAGACATGAGACACTGCATCGGCCTTGACATTCATCACAGTGCTCTGTGTTTTCCAAGGGCCCTTTGTTTTCTTCTCTGTTGTAATTCTACTATTTGTCTTCCCTCAATGCTGTCTTCAGAGAGCAGGATGAGGTCTGATTTACATCTGTATTTACATCTGTCTGGTACATGCTGGGTAAAGAATAGGCTCTTTTTGTTCATGGGGCTTGAACTCTGGGTCTGGGTGCTGTCCCTGAGCTCTTCAGCTCAAGGCTAGTGCTCTACCACTTGAGTCACAGCGCCACTTCCAGTTTTCTGGTGGTTAACTGGAGAAAAGAGTTTCACGGACTTTCCTGCCTGGGCTGGCTTTGAACTGCGATCCTCAGATCTCAGCCTCCTGAGTAGCTAGGATTACAGGCGAGAGCCACCGCACCCTCCTCCAAGAGTAGGCTGGCAAAGTCTAAAGTCAACTAACCCAAGCTGGGTGCTGGTGGCTCATGCCTTTGATCCTAGCTACTTAGAAGGCTGAGATCTGAGGATCTCAGTTTGAACCCAATGAGGACAGACAAATCCTGGAGACTTTTATCTCCAATTAATTGGAACTGGAAGTGGAGGTGTAGCTCTAGCGGTAGAGTGGTGGTCTGGAGCAAATGTGCCAAGCAAGAGTGTGAGGCCTTGAGTTCAAACTCTAGTACTGGTACACACACACACACACACACGCAAACACACATTGGTCTCAGCTTTGTCACTAATTATTATTTAACCTTGGACCAAATACTTTATCTCAGGTTCTTCATCTGTGAAATGGGGATATTAATGACTAGCCTGCCTATTTCCCACGATTGCTTTGAGGATCAAATGAGATAATGTACTTAAAAGAGGTTTCAGAAAGTCTAAAGTACTACCTGAATGCAAGGCATGATATATATAATATATAATTTTGAATTTTCCCTTTCTTAAACACCCTGTTTCACCATCTTGGATGCCTGGGTTGCATGGTGGGGAGACCGGAGGATCACTTCATGTTCAGACTCTGCCTGCCCAGCCTCACCTTCACTATAGTGTCTACTGGGAGCGCTGGGATTCTCCAAGACCCTCAGTCATTCTTCCAGTCTTGCTTCTCTCCTTGACTCATATGGACATGGATATTCCTCCTTACTTGAAGAATGTTCTTTTGTTCTGTGTATGTGCTGGTACTAGGGCTTGAACTCAGGCCTACATACTTTCCTCCCAACCTCCTGCCAATCATGGGGTTTGAACTCAGAGTCTAGGCCCTGTTCCTGGGCTTCTTTTGGTTAAGGCTAGCACTCTACCACTTGAGCCACAGCACCACGTCCTGCCTTTTCTGTGTATGTGGCACTGAGGAATGGAACCCAGGGCTTCATGCATATTAGGCAAGCACTCTACCACTAAGCCACATTCTCAGCTCAAAGGCTGCATACTCTTGCTTGGCTTGTTTATGTGAATGTCTGGCTTTTTAATGGTTAATTGGAGAAAAGAGTCTCTTGGACGGCAATGCCTGGGCTGGCTTTGAATCTCAATCCTCAGATCTCAGCCTCCAGAATAGCTAGGATTGTAGGCGTGAGCCACAGGTGCCTAGTTGCTACTCAAGTTTTAGCCATCAACTAGTCTGGCTTCTGATAAGGATCTAGGAAGAAGATGTGTATGGTGGAATTTAGGCTAAATCTGGGAAGGGGCCAAGTGCAAGAGTGTAACTGCACTCTGCTAATCCGTTAGGCCACACCTAACTTTCCTTAAGGCAAGACAACAGCCAACTCAGTTCCCCCTGGCTGCTCCACTGATAGCTGGCCTACTTATCTTCTCTATCAAACCTCCTTTTCCTTCAGTTTTAAATCCTATATCTGGAAACAGCATCATTATGCCTCAAGGTCCTGGCGGCTGTCTTTTTCCAGGCAGGACTAGTTCAGGAGCTGTGCCTCTCTCTCCTGCACTCCCACAGCTCTTGATGAAATTCTTACCTTCTGCTTCGGGGTCATATGCTGATTTCTGCTGTCTGTATGTCTCTCTGCCAGGCACTCTCTCTGCCTGGATTAGGTTACAATAAATGTGATTTGAGAGGGCACAGAAAAGGTGGAACAAAGTGTGAAGAAACACAACAGGAATACTCACTAGACATACATCTTTTAGGTGGGGATGGGAGAGAAAAACTAGGAGAGTGCTAGGGAAGGGGAGACACGGTTCAGAAAGAATTGTACTCATGACCCGACTCGCAACTGTAACCCCTCTACAATAATACATATATATGATACATATATATATGCTAGATATACATACATACATACATATATATATATATATATATATATATGCAAACGAAATGTGAAAGTTAGGTGCTGTACTTAAAATCCTAGCTAATCAGGAGGCTGAGGATCATGGTTGGAGGCCAGCCCAAGCAGGAATGTCCATGAGACTCTTATCTCCAATGAACCAGTGAAAAGTCAGAAGTGGCTCAAGTGGTAGATCACCAGTCTCTTGGATGTGTCTGTCTGGGCTGGCATCCATCTTCAGATCTCAGACTTTTGGGTATCTAGGATTATAGGAGTGAGCCACCAGAGTCCAGCTGAATATACTTTAATAGTGACAAATCTGATCTCTACAAGTGAATTATAACATTTCTATATGGCAACTCAGGAAGAGCTATCTTTAATGAGTCAAGATCAGACTGGTAACAGTCCAGCAATAAACCTGGTGCCATTGATCTTGATTACATGATTTTTGAAAACTTTCTTAAACTTTCTACTACATTCAGTATAGCACTTGCTTATCTTGCGTGCTGATTAGATCCTAGCCTTGTACTCACACTCACTTGCATTGGTTGTAATGATGCATTCTCCTTTAACATTTATTGTGCATTTGACACTAGGTGAAGAAGGCTAAGGTCCTTTCTTATACTTTATCTAGTTGGGCAGATGCAAACAGTCCTGTGTGAAAAGTAGCATTGGGGTGAGATAAAGAAGTACAGTGGAGAGGGCTATTAGGGTTGAGAATTCGCTACAGTGTTGGCAAAGCATTTTTAGGACTGAAGGATGCATCATGACTGGAAGTTCATCAAGAGGAGGAGAGAAGGGGACCCTTAGAGTCACTGTATGCCCAGAGAACAGAAGGTACAGAGTCTGAAATGGAAGACTTGTTTTCTGCAACCGATTTCTTTTTACTATCCTCTTGTTTTCAACTTGTATCCTTATTGATATATACTTTCAATTACTGCATTAAATTTTATTTTACTTTGTTATTTTGTGCCAGTACTGGGACTTGAACTCAGGACCTGCAACTTTAACTTGGTCTTTTTTCCCCCCTCTCTCAAGGCTGGTTCTCGACCACTTCAGCTTACACCTCCACTTCTAGATTTTTGTTTTGGTTGGTTTTACTGGCTAATTGGAGATAAGAGTCTCACAAGATTCTTTTTTTGGTCCGGGCTGGCTTTGGACTGTCTTCTTCAGATCTCAGACTTCTGAGTAGGGTAGGATTACAGGCGTGAGCCTCCTGTCCCTGACACAGTTCATTTTTACAAATATTGCATACATTATTCATGATTCCTCTGTCCCTTTTTACTAAGCGAACTGATGAATGAATGAATGAATGAATGGTGACAGGGGTTGAAATGCACCCTGGCGCCTCTGCCCCCATTTCCTTCTCTGACAGCCCCGGGGTCTCCTCTCCGCATTCCTCCAGAGAGCAGGGGAGCAAGGGCCGGCGGGTGCGTGGGGGGCAGGAGGTCCGCCCCTCAGTGCCAGGTCACCGTCCGGTCGACCCCGGGGTCCGATGCTCCGAGCCCCTTCACCCGCCCGCGCTCCCTCCCCCCGCCCCGGGATGCTCGGCGCAGCCGACGCTCGCTCGGCGCTGACCCGGCTCCGCGCGTGGGGGAGGACGAAGGGAGGACCACGGGAGGACCTCGCAGTAGATCCCTCCGCGCGGAGCCCGGCCGGCGCTTCTTCCTGCGGGAAACCCCTGGGTGCCCCAGGCGCGAGGCCGGGCTGTGGCGGCCAGGGGGGCGTGGCCTCGCGGTGGGAGGACGGCCGCGGCAGGGGGCGTGGCCTCGCGGTGGGAGGAGGCGGCAGGGGCGGAAGGACACACGAGGCTGAGTCGCTGCACCGCGAAGAAAGTTTCAGCCAAACTTCGGGCGGCGGCTGAGGCGGTGCCGGGGAGCGGCTGACTCGTGGGTTTGGGGCGCCGCCGACGCATTCAAACTCGAGCTGCGGAACGTAGCGCGTGGCCGTGAGCTGAAGCACCCGGAGGAGGAGCGGACAGAGCGGGAGGGTTGGGGGGACCCCGGGTTGGGACCCCCCTCCTCATGTGGATCTGCCCCGGCGGCGGCGGCGGCGGCGACGCTGGAGGAGGCGACCGAGAAGATGCCCGCGCTGCGCCCCGCTCCGCTGTGGGCGCTGCTGGCGCTGTGTCTGTGCCGCGCCGACCCCGCGCGTGGTGAGTGTCGGGCCGGGGTGTGTGTGGGGGGCTCCGTCCCCTCGCTTCGCCCGGCTCCCCCTCGCTTCGCCCCGGCCACCTGAGGCGACCGTTCGGCCGCCCGCGGTCCTCGGTCCGCCGCCCGCGCCGAGTGTGTGTGGGGCCCGGGTCGCGGCGGGCCGCCCCCCGCCCCCCGCCCCGGGCTGCCCGCCGCTCCTGCGCGCTCCGCCCCGGCCCCCCGAGCGAGGCCGCGCTGCGCGCCTCTGGCGGTCGCCGCCTTGGGCGGCGGGGGTGGGGGGGGGACACAGGCGGCGGGGGCCCCGGGGGTCCCGCGTGGGCTGGGTCGGAGCGGGGGGAATCGGCGGGGAGATCTGGAGCGCTGAGGGCCGGCGTGGAGGAGACGTGGGGGGGGGCGGCCCCGCAGCCAAGCCACGCGCGGCCGTGCCCGAGGAAGCGGGAGGGTGGTGCGGCTCGCTGGGTTTGGTCGGGCGGGGGCCGGGGTCCTGACACACCCCCCCCTCCCGGGGCCCCGAGGGCCGGAGGGGGGTCCCGAGGAGTCCGTGGGTGTGTGAGGAGAGAGTCGGGCGTGGGGCCCGCGGCTTCGGGAGGTGGAGGCAGGGGTGGGTGGGGGAACTGGTGTGGCCGCTTGCTGGGCCAGCCACATGATTGAAAACATCTCGACTGCTGTTATTCTTTCCGAGGCGCGGAGCCGGGCTGCTGTTCCAGGCTGTGTCCAGACCCAGGAATGTGGTGTGACGATCACCAACTCCTCCGACCTGGCGGCAGCTTTTTTTTTTTTTTTTGGCTGCTCTTTTGGCATGGATGGGGGTGGGGCTGGGCCCTGCGAGGAAAAGTAGATCTGTGGATTCCGAAGGTTTGCTTTAGAAAGCTCTCTTTATGGTTAGAGAGCCCTCAGGATCTGTGTAACACGTTGTAAGCAAGTTAAGGAAATCGAATCACGAATCATGATTTATCCACTCCATCCACACTTGTAGAGTCTAGGCGTCCCCCCCCACCCCCCCCCATGTTTAGTGGAAAGAGCTTACTTGGGATTTGGGAGCGCTGCTATGTAATCCTGGATTCAAAACTTGCTATATGAACCCACCAATAAAATGCGTGGGTTAATTAGTAGGATAAATTGTAGAATGTATATTAAGTCCATGGCACTTTTCGAAAGGTGTTCAGAAAGTTCTTTCAGAGAAGAGGCTGTGTGTTATTCTTTCGGAACCCTGAGCTTCCAGTGGAATTGTGTCTTCTGCATGTTGGTTGAATTGAAAGGTGCCCCTTTTTTGCAGGAAGATGTTACTTTTACAAAGACAGAAAAGTGAAAAAAAAAACCTAGTACATCAATCTCAGCTCTTTCCCAAGAAAATGAGCGTCAGAAAAATATGGTCTTTGTTCACTGTTAATAGGCAGCTGGCTTGACAATCACAGATGTTTAAATGGGAACTGGGTTATTTATCACCTGAAAACAGTACTGATTTGTTCAGTACCAGCCACATACTTCTTGGAAAGTTCAACTTTTATATACTGCTAGGTTCCTAACAATTTCAGTCAGAAGTGGGTCAAGAAGCAGTGTCTTGATGAAGCAAAATTGCCTTTTCTGAAATACTTAATAAAAACATATGGTATTTTTGTCTTTTTTTTTAGTTTAACAAGTTAAAGTTGTTTTATTTAGCAAATTAGTTTCCATGACCCATAGTTTTCTCACTAGGACTAAAATCTTAAACTATTTTAGAGGATTGTAGGAAATAATGAACATGTTTGTAAGGTTATTTGCTAAAAGTGTTAAGACTAGTGTGAGAAACAGGATGACTAGCAAGGAGGACTTCCTTCATTGTCAGTGTCCAGAGCATGGAACTTCTTCATACTTAGGCTCTGCTGATAGACTGCTACTGCTGAACAGCTTTCAAGGGAATCAGGCTGAGTGGCTAAGGATAGGATTTACATAAGTCAATTCTTAAACAGATATTCTAAGCTATTGTAATAGAAGAGATTAAAAAGTCTGTTTCTTGGTACAAATTTTATATCTTCCCAGAGTCCAGAGTGAATCCTCTTCATTTATTATGATTGTGTTTTGCCTAGGTACCAATTATAACACACCTTACCAAACATTTGAATGTTAATGTGCTTGGCTTGTGGCCAACTGTTAATTTAAACATCACCAAGTTCCTAAGGCAAAAAGCTGTCACCCATCTGTCTGGCTTTCTAAACAGGTATCCAGGACCACCCTGTGTTCCTTGTTTTCCTTTGCTTTGTAATGGGAAGTTTTTTCTATTTTTGCTGTGTCCCAGATCATCTCTCTACAGAATTCTTCTATTTCTTTACACACACACACACACACACACACACACACACACACACACACACACACACACACACACACACACACACACACACACACACACACACACACACACACACACACACACACAGAGTTGTTTTTAGGTGGAGATAAAATTTTCCCTAAAACTATGGTCCCTTTTTCTTTCTGTATTATTGTTTATTCTCTTTTTGGAGGGATTTGAAAAGTAATTATTTGTAGTCTCCTTTGTCCCCCCTGTGTTTTGATTTAAAAAAAAATTAGTCATTTCTTGCTGGCAACCCTATTTCCATACTGTGGCTTCTGAAGGTTTCTTAGGTCAAAGAGGATCAAAGTTTGGTTTGCCCGAATTGTCTTTGCTGACTTCAGGACCTTTAAAGAATGTCTAAATTCGCTGGCTATGCTCTAATGCTTCAGAGAAACCTTATAATACATTTTAAAAATATCACACCCACAGAAATTCTGTTTTGCCCACACAATTTGCATTGATTGAGTTCCCACTCTCTGCTGCCATTCCTAGCGATTCTGTTCCCTAGTCCGTCAGTGGTAGAACCAATGTGTTCTGGCTGCATCAGAGTCATCGGAGTGACCCTGGGCACTCAGCACCCGGGGATTCTGATAGAGTGGGCTGGGGCTTCTGTATTTTTAAAAAAAGTTTATAAGTGATTTTCATAAAGCAATCTCTTTGGAACTCCAAGTTAATTCCATTTATCTGCCTTCAGGTGATATATGGGACCATTGCTTGTAGATTTTAATAATTTCCATAATGAACCAGCCATTCTGGCGTTTAGTTCTTAAGTAATTTAGAAATGGCTAAAATAAAAGCTATAGAATATAATGTCATTTTGTTCATCTGGTCACAGTGTGTCTCCATCATCTCTTTAGAAGGGCTTTTGATATGACCTATTTTATATTTTTCCTGTCCTTTTCAAACTCTTCTCTTCCTGGCTTCATTTTCTCTGTAAATTACTTGAAACCAAAAGATTTTCATTCTTACTCTACTTTTTTTCTTTGTCACTCTTATTTTGGAAAGACCAGAATTCTCCTCTAGGTCTATTACTAATTGGCATGGTTCCCATGTACAATAGGTCCCGTTTCCAGCCTCCATTTTCTCATGTACTTTGGCTAAGGTCACAGCCCATTAGAGTTGAGACTAGAGTTTCTTGTCTGTGGTCCTCAGGTTCACGGCCTCATCTGGTCTCCACACTGCTTCCATACAAATGAGCTCATGTACCTAAAACAGAACATCCTCAAGTATGTATTGTTAATGTGTACTTGAGGAAACCAATTGTCTCTTTTCATTTATATATTTGTTCTAATACTCCTGTACCTGGCATACTGCTTTGGCATCTGGTAATCACTTTACATATTTGTTAAGTTGAACTATTACTTTTAGTCATTTTCTTATTCTGGACTACTATAGTACTCCTGAACAGTTTTTAAATAGTAACTGCAATTTATTTCTTACCTTTCGTTTGGGGGAAAAACCAATTTTTCCCCTTCCCCAGATGTTTTATTTAAGCTTGTCATTTTGACTTGTTGAGTTTTCTCTGTCCTCCCTCCCTCCCTCCTCCCCTTCCTTTCTCCCTCCCTCCCTCCCTCCCTCCTTCCTTCCTTTCTTCCTTCCTCTTCCTCTTCCTCTCTCTTACTTCCTTCTGCTATTTGTAAAGGTCACTTTGACTTTGGAATCTGACTTCAAAGCCCTGGTATTTACCCCCTGCCTTCACTTTGCTGCTGCTTCCTGTACCATAGGCCAACGATTTTATTTTTTTCAGTTACCTTAGTATAATTTAGTCATTTGGAATAGTGGTTTCTTTTATCTCAATGGCAACTAGGTTTATGTTTTGATGATCTTTTTGAAATTTCTTATCTTAAGCTGGATATTACAAACTTGATGTAGGCTAAGAGATCTAGGCAATGCACTTGAGATAGTCACATGGTATGTGAGATTTCTCTGCAACAAGACATTGTTGTTTTGTTTTGTTTTGCCAGTCCTGGGGCTTGAACTCAGGGTCTGGGCACTGTCCCTGAGCCTCTTTGCGCTCAAGGCTAGCACTGTACCAGTTGAGCCACAGTGCCACTTTCAGCTTTTTTGAGTCATTTATTGGAGATGAGAGTCTCACAGGGACTTTTCTGCCTGGGCTGGCTTTGAACTGGGCTGGCTTTAAACCGTAATTCTCAGATCTCAGCCTCCTGAGTAACTAGGATTACAGGCCTGAGCCACGGGCACCTGACAAGATCTCCCTTTGTAACTGAGACTATCCTTAAGCACAGGATCCACTTTCCTCAGCCTCTCTAGTGCTGGGATTATAGGCATGTGCCACTCACTATGCCTGGCTTTATACTGTTCTTTTTTTTTTTTTATATTTATTTATTTATTTAGGGTCTGGTCATGGGGCCTGAACTCTGGGCCTGGGCACTGTCCCTCAGCTCTTCAGCTCAAGGCTAGCACTCTACCACTTGAGCCATAGCACCACTTCCGGCTTTTTTTTTCTCCTGCTTATGTGGTGCTGAGGAATTGAACCCAGGGCCTCATGCATGCAAGGCAAGTGCTCTAGCACTGAGCCACCCTCCCAGCCCCCTGTTCTTTTTTATTACTTAATGAATGATTGAAACTTTTCACTTTGTAGTCTCATGGAGTGGCAAGGAGCTTTTAAAATTCAGCAGGTCATGAATGGCTCATTCCTGCATTTTAAGC